ATAGGGGGAAGGGGAGGGCGAGGAGGGGGGTAGGGGGGTTCAGGGGGATAGGGTAGGGGGTGGTAGATAAACCGTAGTCTCTGATAGGTTGGCTGTTTACCCCTTACCCAACAGTAGTAAACAAGCGATACTTAAGAAAGCATTGTCAGTAACTGTCTACAGTGTTTGTGCATGCAGCCAATAAGGGGGCTAAAGCTTGCTCGTATGCTGTCTTGCACCGTCAGCAATAGACCTACCAACATAAATCAAAGATCTTCTGCTGCTGGCCCTACAGGGATTTATTATTAATTTCCTTGTATAAAAAATAATATACCTTTTTGCATACACTTAATCGATCTTCTCCATGAGGTAGCCGTCAGGAGTGTCGCTGCTGCTCGTCTTATGCAGCTGCTGCACTTAGCTGCTGCTGGCGTTAGCGTAAGTGCTAACGCCAGCAGCAGCTAAGTGCAGCAGCTGCAGCAGCAGCACGCAGCGAAGGGGTTGTCATCAATAGTAACACTTCCTTGTAGGTAGTTGTAAGGATCCAGTTAACAAGATAAATCAACGATTCTTGCCTGCGTAATCCTACCTAACATGCCCACTGGTGCCAGCTAGCTAGCTAGCTACCTACCTACCTACCTAGCGCCATGGGTACATAAAGGAACTCAAGGCCTTCTTAGTCACTGAGTAGATAAGCTACTAGCTAGCTATCCAGCTAGCTATTCATTAGGGGTAGCTGTTGAGGGTTTCCTGCTGCAGATGTGGCGACTGTGTGCAAGTACTACATAGCTGGGTGCCCTAAACCCTAAACCCTAAACCCTAGTAGGGTTCCGTGGTCCTGTTGGGTTAAACAGCCCATAGTTATAATGTTATATGCCAATTAACGAATATGACAAAAAAGATGAATTCAATTCAACAAAAAGAAAGACACAAAAACAGCCTTGCATGCAGGGGCCCTGCAGTACCCTAGGCCCTCGGTAAAGTAGTAGAGGCCCCTAAGCAATCGTAACAGACAACTGTTTACTCCTTCTTGTACTGCGGCACACCGGTGGTGCAGCAGCTACAATAGCAGCACTAGCAGCTGCTGCTCTGCAGCAGCACTAGCAATTGCTGCTCTGCAGTAGGGTCACTCTCCTAGTATCCAATAACCATGACCAACAGGACATTTGTAGTATTTTCCTGAGGAAAGAGGAGACAAACCCTTGAGCAAGGAGTAAGGGATTGTGGGGTAGGGTGTTGAGCTTGTTGTTCAGGGAATTTGTGACTAAAGTGTAGGTTTTAGGGTTTAGGGCTTCGGTCTTGGGGCCTAGAGTTTAGGGTTTAGGGTTTGTTGGTCTTACCTGAGGGTACATCATAGTATCCAATAAGTTGTGAGGAGAAGAGACCATCAGTAAGGTTAGGGAACCCTGAGGAGACAATATCCTCTGTAGGGCTAGTGATGGATGGTGTGTGTATAAGAGGTTGGGGCTGCATGCAGCAGCAGCGGGAGATACCTAACGTAAAGTCTCCTTCAGAGACAACGCTAACTAACTTCCCTGCTAAGGAGACAGCTAACCTTAGCATGCGGTAGTATACCCTCATGGGGACCTGTAAGGAGGAGACAGCGACAGAGGCATTAGGAGGAAGGAGACAGTGCTGCTACACTTAGGAAAGGAGGGGACAGCGACAGCAGCAGGGAGGAGACAGAGACAGCAGCAGCAAGGAGACAATGGAGGATACAGGGGGACATCGATAGATGCTGGGACAGCGGAGGAGACACAGACAGAGGAGACACAAACAGACAAGTAGACGCAGGTTGCCATGGAGACAAAGAGACACAAAGAGGAGAGAAGAAAAAAAAGAGCGGAGAAGACAGAGGAAGATAAGAAAAAAGAGACAGGACACAGATACAGCAACGGAGACAAATGTATATAAAAGAGGGACTATAAATAAAGTAGACAAATAAAGGAGACAAATAAGGAGACAAATAAGGAGACAAATAAGGAGACAAATAAGGAGACAGACCTGATCACTATTAATGTTATTTTCTTCTTTATATATATATAATTCCTTAGGAGGAATAAAGGGACAAACTTTTAGTACTTTATGTATATTAGTAAGATCAGGTGTATGTTTCTTATTATATGTATATGATGATGAATATTCTTCTTGCTGCTGCTGCTGTTGCTGTAGTTGCTGCTGCTGCTGCTGCTGTTGATTATGGTGTACATACACCTCAATTTTTTTTTCTTTTATATCTCTTGGTGTCTGACCAAATATTATTATCTTCCCTATTACTAAATTAAATCCTTGAGGAATACCTGCAGGAGTAAATACTCTACATGTTGGGTAATCATTAAATAATGCAAATATTCCCCAAGGATAAAAATGTACCTACACAAACAAACCAACAAACAGCAGCAGCAGCAGCAGCAGCAGGTGCAGCAGCAGTAGTAGCAGTGACAGGAGCAGTAGCTACAGGAGTTGAAACAGTTTGTTTAGGGTTCAGGGTTTAGTGTTCGGGGTTTAGGGTTTAGGGTTTAGGGTTTAGGGTTTAGAGTGTATACCTGTTTAACGGCTCTTGCGAATAGACCAGAGGAGACAGCAACAAGAGGAGACTGAAAAGGAGACGATCTAGAGACAGTAGAGGTAAATGGCCATGAGGGGACAATAACATGACCATAAGGGTGTACACATACCATAGACGAGGCCATTATGCTGCTGCAGCAATTGCTGCTGCTGCTGCTGCTGCTGTTAAAACGACAACGTACTATTCTGTGGGCCGGCAGACGACCCCCTTGCTGCTGCAGCTGACGCTTGTTTGCTGCAGTACTATTCATTGCTGCTGCTGCTGCTGCTGCAGCAGCCTCAATGTCCTCCGCACACACTGTGTGCCCACCAACAGCTGTTGTATTGAAACTACTGTCAGCAGCAGCAACAACAGGAGAAGCAGCAGCAGCAGCAGCAGCAGCAGCAGGCTGTTGAGCTGGATTCCTCATAGTGGTGTATAGGAACAATGCACCCTGTGCTGTCTGCGAGGTTCCTTCTTTTCCTTCTTTTCTTTCTTTTCCTTTTTCTTCCTTTTCTTCGTTTCCTTCATTTTCTTTTTCTTTTTCTTTTCCTGTTTCCCCTTTTCCTTCTTGTTCTTCTTGTTCTTCTTCTTGTTCTTCACCTTCTTCTCCTTCTGATTCACTTGAGTACCATCTATTAATAAAGGAATTCTTTCTTTTTTCTAATTGTACAGATGTCCATGGTATACTACTAAGGTGTACCTCTAGGTATGCATATTCATTAAGCAGCAGCAGCCACTGTAGCTCATCAACACGAAAGGCTAAGGGTTGCTGCAGCAGCAAAGTAGCAAATTCCTCATCATATTGTACATGAGGATACATACAACCATCTACAGCTAATAATAATTTTAACTGTCTCCTTTCTAATGCTAAATGAAAGGGAGGACAACTAAAGTATTCAACTTCTCTTAACTCTTCTAAATCTAACGAACCCTCTTCTTCAGGGGCCCCCTCTTCAGAGGGGCCCCCCTCATGGGGGGCCCCACCTGTACCCACCATAGACTCGGGTACTGCCTCAGCGCCGATACCAGAAGAATCTTGCGAACCAGTAGCAGGACTGGATGGGGCCCCCAGGGGGGCCCCTAAGGCCTCACGGAGGCGCTGCAGTGCACTTACCCCATATGAACGCGGTGAAGACGAGGAAGCCTGCTGCTGCTGCTGCTGCTGCTGCTGTTCGTGCAGGTTGGACTGGTGTAGCTGAGGCGGTCGCAGTCTTGAGCCACTGCGCTCAAGGCTTGGTGCTGGTGCTGCAGCAGGTGCAGCAAAGGCGGACGTTGCTGCATCTTGGGGTGTATAGGCAGCTGGTGACTTAGGGGCTAAGTTGTATGTGGGGCTAATCTGTACCTTTGGTGGGGTCTTAAAAAAGCTGATGCGCCCTGCTGCTGCCATCCAGCTGGTGGATGCAGCAGCAGCAGCAGCAGCTGATGCAGCAGCAGCAGCAGCAGCATTAAATGCTGCTGTTGCCCCTGCCTGGGCCCCCTTAAGAAAGGCAGTAGGGTCTAGGTCAGACACAGGGGGGCCCCCATGCTCTTCTTCTTGCCATCTTTTTAGGTGCTGCTGCCAACCAAAGGTGTCAGTAGGGTTATCCCTTCGATGTCTTGTTGGGTTCCTTCGGGTACCGGGGCCCCCCAGGGGCCCCTTTTTAGGGGCCCCATTAATTGAAGCAACAGAGGCAGTCTTTGCTGCTGCTGCTGCTGCTGCTGCTGCCTCATCAACCTGCTGCACATAAGGCTTCAAAGGGCCAGGGGGCCCCTCCATGCGACGTAGTCTCTTAAGACAAGAAGTTTTTCTTTCTCTCCAAGGGAGGGGCCCCAGGGCCCCACTCTCCGAGGGGTTAATAGGGTACACCGCATTAAATTCATCAACCCATGCTTGGGGCCCCCAAAAGAAGAGAGGGAGATAAATAGGACCACAAGGTATACACCAATAGGCACTGTCAGCAAGGAGACGTACAAGGGACTGCAGCACGAAGGCAGGACCACTAAGATGAAGGGGACTGTCTCCTTTTAGATGACTAACTAAAGCAGCAAACCCCTCAGCCTCCCTAGGCAGCAACTCAATAGCACCACAAGCAGCACGACGGGGACGGAGGTGAGGGAACTGCTGCTGCTGCCGGTCTTCTGGTGGCCCCATTTGGTTGGGCCCTTGGGGGGGCCCTTGGGGGGGCCCCTGGGGATTGGGGGCCCCCTCATTAGCTGCTTCACTGACCTCTACAAGACGCGCTAAGAAAGAGTTCTTAACTCTATCTGACTGTAAGACAGAGCGAGGAAGAGACACTCGTAGATCCCCAAGGGCAAAGACAACGTTAGGAGACAGATTGCATGCAGGAGGGGGACAACTAGAAGGAGACACTGGAAAGGAGACACCTGAAGCAGGAGGGACTGCAGTGCCCTGCTCTCCCTTGTCTACGCCTGCAGCAGGAAAGGGTCCATTAGGGCCTGAAGCAGCAGGGGCAGCTTCTACAGCGGCGACAGGATCAGGGGCCCCCAGTGTTGCAGTGAGGGGGCCCTCTGTGTCTTCTGGTACGGGGACGGGGGCCCTAGGAGAGGTTACTGGCGGGACCACAGAAGAGGGGGCCCCGTTAGATGGGTACTGTGAAGAGGGCCCCCTGGGAGGGGAAGGCTCAGCAGGAGGGGCCCCCAGGGAGGGGGACTCAAGAGAAGGGGACTCCAAAGGAGGAGGGGGCCCTAAGGCAGGGAGAGGACAGCTGGGAGTGGGGTGTGCGGTGTCTGCGGTTTCCTCTGTCTGCGCTAGCATCTCCCTTTGCCCCTTTTGTGTATTGACAGAAGAGAAGCAAGGAGACAGGGAAGGAGACAGGGGAGGAGACAGGGGAGGAGAAAAGAGGAGACAGTTGTGTGTAAGGGTCTAACAGTACGTCTTGGGTACTATATATAACAATGATAGACCCACCGCTATGTTACGCAGTGGATAAGGAAGGAGACACAAGGGAAAGGAGACAAATAAAAGAAAACTAATTAGTTGATTATAATGACATTGATAAATATAAATATAATAATAATAATAATCAATAAAAAGATACAAAAGATCCTTAATTAATGCCTTAAGCGCAGCAGCAGCCAAACCATTGGTCACCACTGGAGTGACCAATGGTCCATTGGTCACGAGCATACAGAGGAGCCCCTCCCCCCCCTCTCTCTCTCTCTCTTTGCACAATTTAAATAAAAGATGTAAACAATATTTAATTATAATTAAATATTAAATATAATTTACATTGTAATAGAGTTATAGATAGACAGATAATAAAAAAGGGAAAGAGACTTTTCTCTCTTTCCCCTTATTTCCCCCCTGGTCTGTTTCCCTCCTACAGATTATATAAAAGGGGTACAGTATAAATAAGAGACAATAAAAGGGCCCTAAAGGGCCCTTTTATATATCCCTCTCTCTTAGTGCCCGTTACCTTCCCTAGGAGACCCTCGGGGTGTCTCCTTTTCCCTTTGCTGTGTGTCAGTGTCCCCTACTACCCTGCTACTGCGGGCAGCAGCATGTATACTCCTTATTAACACAACACAATAAAAGGAGACACTTTACTAAGAAGGGGACAGGGAAAAAGAAACAGGGAAAAGGAGACAGAGGATGACGCCTATCCTATCCAAGCTGTCTCTATACCCTACCCTAGTAATAAACAACTACATATAAGCTGCCTTAGGGGCCCCATACCCACCATTTATTAATTACCCCTTTTATTATTAATTAATAATAAAAGGGGCAATTAATAAATATATTATATAAGGCATAGTAGTTGGTTATTATTATAGTAAAGGATTTTCTCCCTTCGTGGTGTCTCCACAAGGTGTTTCCCCCACCACTGCAGCAGAAGAAGACTCTGCATGCGTCACCTCCTTCTGTCTCTTCTTCTCCCCGCTGTCTCCCTCCTTATCAGCAGCCTCCACTCTGCATGCAAAGCAACAGCATAAAAGAGACCATGGATAATATAAAGAGTAACAATGAGGGGACACCATGGCCCTCTTCTTGTCCCCCAAAGAGACACAGCAAGGAGCAGCATCAGACAAAGTGCAGCAGCAGCAGCAGCAGCAGCAGCAGCAGCAGCAGTAGCATGTGCTTTCGCTTACCTTCGTTTACCTGCCCTACTCTTAGGTCCCCAATAAGGAGTAGGGTTAGGTAACCATCTAGGTACATGTTTATTATTTTGTCCCTTTGTCTCTCTTATCTCATCAGAGGAAGGAGGAGACAAATCAATACCTTTAGTCCTACACATAACAAATAAAGAGACACATGCATGCAGACATGATATGCTTTAATACAAATACAACTGCATGCATGCATGCGGCCTTTTGGGGCTGGATACGCAATGTAAATACCGACCGCATCCGCACTGCATGCATGCATGCATGCATGCATGTATCCACTCTGCCTGCCTGCCTGCGTGCATGCATGCAGCCTGCATGCATGCATGCATTATGGGGCTGTATGTACTTACTGTATAGGTTTATTAAGCACAGGGAATTTATCTATATTATTAGGTGGATGTTGTATTGCATGCGTTCTTAATACATCATAAACAACTGCAGCAGGAGCGTCTGTCTTTATTGCTTGTGGGTCTCTATGGAAATGTGATGTCTTATACCCTAAGCGACGGAGGGCTGCCCTATAAGGAGACAGGAGACAGGAGACAGGGGAGACGAGATAGGGGATAAGGGACAGGGGATAGGAGACACGAGGCAGGAGACACAGCAGAGGATAGGAGACAGTGAAGAAGGGACAGTAGATAAGAAATAGGAGATAGGAGACAGTTAAAAGAAGACAGCAGACAGTAAGGAGACAGTACGGGACCTACAAACCCTCAACAAGCGTAGCTGCACAATAGAGGCAGTAGCAGTAGCAGCAGCAGCAGCAACAGCAGCAGGGGACAAATAAGTAAACATACATAAAACAAGAAGGCTTAATCATGCTTAGTTTATTGCGTGTGCATAGAGAAGGAAGTTGGTAATGAAGAGGAACGTCAGGCAACTCCTGAGGTGTACGTACACCGCAACAGCAGCAGCAGCAGCAGCAATACAGCAGCAGCACATCATAACGCAGCAGCAACAGCAGCAGCATGCATACAGCTACCCCTATTCTGCTTCTCCCTAGGTCCCCTCTTTCTGTGCCGCTCCCTGACTGCAGCAGCACTAAGGTGCAGCAGCAAGATGCAGACACCAGCAAGGTGCAGCAGCACGGTGCAGAAGCAGGGTGCATGCATAGCAGCAAAAAGCCCCACCTCTCTTAGTGCTGTTAACATCCCTCTTATACGATCATTCATTGTTAGACCAGGAAGTGTCTCCTTTGCTGTCTCCAATTCCTTCAAACATAAATCAACAAACTCCTAAGGAGACAACACACACAAACAGACTTGCTGCTGCTGCTGCTGATACTGCTGCTGCTGCTGCTGATACTGCTGCTGCTGCTGATACTGCTGCTGCTGCTGATACTGCTGCTGCTGCTGATACTATCCGCGCAACTAATTGCATAGACAAGGTGGAGACACAAGACACAAGATTCCTCGATCCTGTTGGGTGTCTCTACAGGCGTAAAAAAGCCCCACAAAGTCTACTGCATGCATGCACGGATGCATGCACGTATGCAGGGTTAGATCAAAATAGTAAAGTGTCTCCTTAGTAGCACTTACAGGGTCATAGTATCTTCCGGTGTATATAGGGCCCCCTATTACGCAGCGGCTGCCGCATTCGTTGCAGAGGGGCCCCACACCCTCGGGTACAGTTGCTGCCCTAAATCGTACCCTACCGCTCTCTGTTGGTGGTCCATCACCCCACACTCTGCTGCTGCTGCTGCTCTCCTCCTCCTCCTCCTGCTGCTCCTGCTGCTGCTCCTGCTGCTGCTCCTTCTCCTGCTGCTGCTGCTGTGGTGCCTTTGAGGGCTTAGCTTTACCGCCTTTGCGCTGTGCAGGTTTTATGACGCTAGTCCCTAATGGGGCAACGACGAAGGCCTCGCAGGAGGGACAATGGAACACCTGCAGCAGCAGCAGCAGGAGCAGCAGGAGCAGCAGGAGCAGCACTCTTCATTACGACTGCTCATTAACTAGCTAGCTACCTAGCTAGCTAGCGGCTCGCTAGCAAGCTACATGTATATTCATATACTTATTGACGGTAGATAGCCCTTCGAAGCAGCAACAACCGCACCACCACAGCAGCAGCAGCAACAGCAACAGCAGCAGCAACAGCAGAAACAGCAACAGCAGCAGGAGCAGCAGGACTTACGATTCCTTCTTTTTGTTGTAGATATTTACATTGTTCTGCTGATTCAACAATACGTACAAATAAACGAACATAAAAATCAACACTAAGACACAGCAGAGGCTGCACTGCCTTCCTTTGTTTTGCTGCTGCTTGTGCTATTGCATGCAATACTATCCTGCATAAGGAGACAGGCAGACACAGACACACAGGGAAAAGGAGACACTTTATACACCCCAACATGAATACACTCACATTTGCTGCTGCTGCTGCTGCTGCTGCTGCAGCTGCAGCGCAAGAATGTCCCTAAACCCTAATGTCTAGGGTTTAGGGTTTAGGGGTGCACAGAGAGACAAAAGGAGACACAAAGTAGATTTGCACAGCAGATGGCTATTTCAGACTTGCATGCAGTAGACATGCATGCACGCGTGCGTGCAGTCTTGCATGCATGCATCCCTGCATGCATGCATGCATGCACTCCTGCATGCACAGCTGACATACCTGACGGCTACCTCATGATGGGGGCTAACCTTAGGTGTAGCTCCTCCATATTTATAATAAGAAGTTTCTGCAGAATTACCTACAAGAGTAGATGTATCTGTACTAGTTATACAGAGGAGACCACCATTTCTTATTAATTGTATAGATGAATAAATAAAAGGGCAACAGCTACCATAAGGATCTATGTCTATTATATCGTACCAATAAGGAATACTATAAGAGACAGGAGATACTATTGTCTCCTTTTTATCTGTAACTAAAGCTGCACCAACAGCAGCACCAGCAGCAGCAGCAATAGGTACATCTCCTCCTGCTGCTGTTGATGTAGCAGCAACAGGAGATGCAACAGTAGGTGCATCAGCATCAGTTGTTCTTGCTGCTGCTGTTGCTGCTGTTGCTGCTGCTCCTGCTGCTGTAGAGGAAGAAGAAGAAGAACAAGAAGAAGAAGAAGAAGGAGGAGACAATATAATTGGATTAAATATAGGAGGAATAAGGAGAGAATTATAATCTTGTTGTATATTATTATTATATAAATAAAAGGAGACAGGTATAGATGTACCTACAGGGAGACAATTTATTTTTTTTATTAATTTTTTATTTATAGGGGGATAAGTTAATATATTCATAATATTATTTGCATCTGCGCATGTACCTAAATAAGGAGACACAGACACAATATATATTTATTTATTTATTTATTTATTTATTTATTTTATTTATTTATTTTATTTATTTATTTAGTAGTAAATAGGTAAAGAAATAAGGAAATAAGGATTAATAATAGGAGACAGAAGAAGGAGACAGGCAATAAGAGGGGATAATGATTTATATATGAAGGAATGTTTGCTGCTGCTGCTGCTGCTGCTGTTGCTGCTGCTGCTGCTGCTGCAGTAACTTACTAAAAAAGCGATGAGGAGGTACACCATTAAGTTTAGCATTTGCTGCTGCTGCTGCTGCTGCAGCAGGATCTAAATCATTAGCAACAGCACAACGAATTGTCTCCTTTAATTCCTTAACATAACGGAGACTACGTAGGCCTATAAGGAGACACAAGAAAGGAGACAGTAATAAGGAGACAGTAATAAGGAGACAGTAATAAGGAGACAGTAATAAGGAGACAGGAATAAGGAGACAGCAATAAGGAGACAGCAATAAGGAGACAGCAATAAGGAGACAGCAAAAACTAGACACTTTATTAAAGGAGACAGTCCCCTAGAGAGTATAAAAAAAGGGTTTAGGGTTTAGGGTTTAGGGTTTAGGGTTTAGTGGTACCTGTTGCTGCTAATGCCTCAAGGACATTAAACCCTACAAACTCTAATGGCTGTGGCTCCTCCTTCCCCTCAGCCTTACAACGAGCAGCAGTAGCAGCAACTGCAGCACCAGCAGCAGCAGCACACATACACACACACACACACACACACACACACACACACACACACACACACACACACAGTCCCTTAAGAGAAACAGCAGCAGCAGCAGCAGCAGCTAGGCTGTCGCTGCTGCCATCTCCTTAGCGGAGACAGCTACCAGATAGGAAGACAGCTAGTTGAGTAGCTAGCTGTCCGCTGCTGCGGGAAGGAGGTAGGGGATAGCTAGTTAGCTACCTAGCTAGCTACCTAGCCAGCTATCCTTATATCCCTCCAGCTAGCTACCCAGCTCAGCAGCTAGCTACTTGCCTGGCTAGCTAGCTACCTAGTTAGCCACCTGCGTAGCTAGCTATCTACTTAGCTAGCTAGCTGTATAGCTAGCTAGCTAGCTATTAAGTAAGACTTACATCTTTGTTTAGCTAGCTGTTTTTGTTTAGCAGCAAATGCCTTAATAACAAGAATAGATAAATCCCTATTAAATACTTGTGCAGGGTTATAGAAGACTTCTTCCTCTTTATTGGGGTGTACGTACACCTGACCTTCATGTATTGGTTGGATCGATGGGATCGATGATGGGATCGATGGGATCGGTTGGATCGATCCGGGATCCGATCCCATAGATCCGGGATCCGATCCCATAGACGATCCCGAGACGATCCCAACACCTCCAGACCCCACAGAATTAACCATTGCCTTAAAGACAAATTAATCACTTATAGATATACTAGTAGTATTAGCAGCAGCAACTGCAGCAGCAGCAGCAGCAGCAGCAGCGGCAGCAGCTGCAGTAATAGGGAAAAAAGAGATAGGCAAGGGGCAAATATTTCCTTTTATTTATATAAAAAAAACAAAAGAATAAACTTCTTAAGAAGAAGGTAAGAAGAAAAAGACTCGAGACCCCACTGCATGCGACTGTGGGGCCCCAGCTGCTGCTGCTGCTGCTGCTGCTGCAGCTATTGGCTGTACAGCAGCAACAATTGGATATCTATTGTGCAGCAAATGCCTTAAATATATTATTTATTAAATAAATAATTAAATAAATAATTAATTAAACAAACTATTAAGCTGCATGCGCCTCTTGCTGCTGCTGCGCATACACCGCAAGTATATTCCTTAGCGGCGACAGCAGCAGCCGAATTCGGGTGTATAGGCACCTTTTTTCCCTCTTTTTTCTTCTTTTTTCCTTTTTTTCTTTTTTTCCTCATTCTCTTTACCTCCAGTCACTCCTTAGCAGCAGCAAGGACATCCAATAACCATCCCTGCTGCTGCTGCTGCCGCCGCAGCAATCTGCTGCTGCTGCTGCTGCTGACGATTGCCTAGCGACTGCAAGCAGCGCTCTACGCCGCATATCCTGCTGCAGCAGCAGCAGCTCCTACTGCGGCCTCAACCGCTATCTTTCCTGCAGCTTCTGCAGCCTCTGCTGCTGCTGCTGCTGCTGTATATGGTAATATAATTGCTGCAACAAAAGAGACAATGGTAGAGGATACACAACATTTACAGGAGACAGGAGGAGCAAGGGGACAATTAAGGCCCCGTATAGAGGGACAGTCCCTTAAGATAGCAGAGACAGTACTAAAAAGGAGACAAAAAGATGATGCAGCAAGACAAGAAAGAGCAGAAGCTCTTGCTAATGCTAAAAGGGTAAGCAACAGCAGCAACAGCAGCAGCAGCAACAGCAGCAGCAGCAGGAACTGCAGCAGCAGCAGCAGCAGCAGGAACTGCAGCAGCATCAGCAGCAGTGGTAGTATAGGAGATCTTGCAGCAGGAGCAGCAGCATGTCTTCAGAACTCATTGGCAGCAGCATCAGCTATAGTAATGACAACACTAGCAGCAGCAACAGAAACAGCAGCAGCAGCAGCAGCAGCAGCAGCAGTATGCATATATATTGT